GCAGGTGGTGGCAGAGTCAGACACGACAGAGACAGTTATGCTGATGGAGAAGGTACTGGTGGCTTGGGATTCATAGGGACTACATCCGAAACTCGGTCGAGCTCTGAACTTGGCGCAACTTCAGGGTAGGCCCTGCTCGAAAGTGACATCGCTCAGTCGCACAGAGGGTGTGGCAGAGGCACAAATTCACCTCACATTTGGAGTTTGAACTTGCCGTCATCTAAGCGGCTATAGGTTTTTCGTCCTAAATAGTTTTTTTCTCGCTTATGTATTTTTTTCAGAGTCTCCACCTCCCTATACACCGCCGTCGGCATACACCAAATCTATAACGCATATCGACCACGACCCTCCTCAGTACAACACTACTCACGTCACTCATGTCACTATTAGTTAATTATAATATTGCATTGTGCTGCCTGCTAGGGTCGATTTTGAAAGAAGGAACAGTATAGCTGGCTCATACTTCTCATGGCTAACTCATCTTTTTGATCCACTTCTTTGTGGTGTTAATTATTAATCAGCTTTCCTTGACTTCTTCTACTTGTTGAACGACATTCATGGTGAGAGGTGGAGCAGCAGGAATGTTTTTTTAAACAAAAATTTTCGGGCGGGTTGATCAGCCGGCGATAGTTCGACTTGTGGAGCGAATCGTTTCGTGGGCTTCTGGTACTTGAGGAAGAGGACGGGAGTCGTATTTCAAAATTTTCTTCGATCCCCTTGACCCTGGAAAGGGGGTTAGACCTTGAGAACGATTCGGTCAAAGCGTCAGGGAGCAATTGTCACCTGAAAATCTCGTTGCAGAAGAAGACACTAATCCTAATATAGATGCCGAGGTTTCATGGGGCAGGAATTCGGAGACTTCTAATATGCATTCTTGGAAATACTGGCTTCACGAATCACTTCTTGAGTGGTGTAGGTGTCGCAGACTCACAATTATCACTCGAGTAGAATTAGCTCAGGAAACATTTGGAAACCTATAGCCGCGTAAAGACTCTATGCCCGATGAGTTCCGATACTAGTGACCGCTTACGTGACCCCTTGCTTCTTCAATTCACCTGGGGGTCATGAGACGTTCAGCTTTAGTTAATGAACAGCGTTCGGATATCTTGAGCGGGACGATAATCGAAATAGCGGACCTTACTGCGCTTCATTCACTCTTGTGATGTTGCTACCGTGAGAAGACAAAAGCACTTCTTCATTCATTGTCGGATCAGATCTGCTCATTAAAATCACGTCTTCTAGGCCAAACGAGAAACTTTTTCTGATTATGTAGGCTAGATACAAAGTAGAAAACCTAGATACAGCCCCGAGCACTGGCTGATGCTGTGAATTTGCACCTGGATATGCTGGAGCCCATACTTGCACGTACGGTGATGGAGCAGATTATACGAAAGTATTGCTCTACTGAACTAACCTGATGTCTCTGGTAAAATTGGAAATAATATCGAAAGCGTTGCTTTCAAAGTTTTCAATCGCAAAATCAAGCTTAGGTGATCTCTGACCTGTGTACATGCAAATCCAAAGCAAATGCTCCCTTACATCAATGAAGAAGTTTAATCTCTCTGAAAAACTGGTTCTTCATGAGCTTGTACAAAAACAAAGAGCCTAGAGCAAATCTTACTGTCTCCGTCGAGCACCGGACTGTCACAGTATGGCAGTAATACGCTGAATACCCCAATGACAGTGTACCTTCCTTTCCGATCAAGCTGAAGCAAAGGTCCGCCACTATCGCCCTGCAAAAATGAGGAACACGATTTGATTATAATTTTGTGCAGTCTAAAGCTGAACTATAGCAAGCAAATTGTTTCCTGTGATAAAAAAAAAAGATTTCACAAGTGTCCAATCTATCACAATCAGAATTTATCGAATGGCCAAGTACGTACCCTGCACAAAGATTTGATGGCATGTGATACTACAATCTTCGAATTTTTTTCTTGCACATCTTCCGAGTCTATATTGATCATCTGCAGCCTATTCAATAGAAAGCGTTTGGGTGTGGGATGGTTCACTGAAAAGACGAAATTTTTTTTTGTTGCTGTCCCAGCCGCCTTTAGATATCGTCCCACTTACCATTTGATGGTTATCCTACAGTGGGTCCCAAATATTGCGATAATTTCTTTACCTTTAACGCTCTACTGTAGCTCGCATGGGATCTGGAGGGGGAGGACCACTCGAATGGGCATTGCAAAGACAACTCGCCACGTTTCGAGGGAAACTGGCTGGACCACGACACCACATCTATCGTATAGCCCTTACGTTGCTCCATCGTACTATCACCTCCTCAGCTCCCTGAAGCAGCAGCTAGGAGAGGAAAAAGTCAGTAAATACAACCACCCCAAAAACGACCTCTTCGAGCTTTTCATCTCACAGCTTCTCTCGTTCTGGGAGGAATGCATCCATTCGTTCCCTAGCAAATGGGTGCATATCAGTGATTATGATGGTGGAGGGTAGGTGTTCAGTGTCTCTCTTGTAGAATTTCATAGAGTTCTGATCGAAGAAATATTGGATGTCGATTTTGACTTTATGGTGATTCAAGTGAGATTTCTTCTCCAGAAGGTGATTGAGAGAGGAGAGCGGATAGTCGTTCGTTGACGCAGGATTAGTGCTACAAGGCGGAGCTAAAAGAACTGACCGCCCGAGAGTCTCCAATTTTTAGGAATTTTCTTAGCAAGGCGGGCTCGAACGACCTCAAAAAAATAGATTTTGTCTTCCTTTGCTTTCAAGTTGAAGGCGTTGCCATCAAGCTGTCAACGATTATCTTCATCACTGACACTGGTTTTGCTCTCACCTATCTTTCGGCCAATCCTATATGTAGCTTGGCGCGTGGAAGATCCTAATCGGTAGTCATGAAGAAAGAGGCTCAGAAGTAGGTTTCAAAGAAATTGGAATCCTAGCTAAAGAAAGTAACAAGCAAACGAGTGGCTAGCCTGTCGGATAGGCGAGCTTGTGTGCTAGGTTGCAGGACATCTTGGAAAGCTTCAATACTTATCAAAAGATTTTTACACAATACATGTAAAGTGTCTCAAAAATTATGGACCGACCTAATAGATACCAATTTTCCCTCTCTCCTAATGGTCAATTGTCGTTTTTGCTAAAGTTCACCGGTGTGAAGTAATCAAGAATACTGATTATTGCTTAGCACTTATGCTAGTCCATTGATCCATCAGAACTGATATCTACTATATCTACTAGAGCTTTTTGGCTCACTCTCCACTGCCAGTGTCAGTTAACCCTCTCATCACGTTACACCTGAGAATCTGTAGTAAAACCTGGGCCTAGGTGATGTAACCGGTAGCACAACTTCCCAGCCGGGAGGGAGGAAGGGAGAGGGTCTGCTTATAAGCAAATTATATCGCGATTTCCGCTTAAAAATTAAGTCTTTCCCCGTCAAAAATGAAATGCAATGGCAAGCAGGACGGGAGCATGCACACAAATGTCGGGACGATTCGACAACGCCTGAGCATTAAGTCCACTTTGCAGCAATAAAATTGAGCCACCCCCATATCAATGCTATTTAGCTTCGGCACTACTATTATTATAGATTGGACAAGAAGTTTGGGCCGAAATTTTCTCCACTCTCTAGATTTTCATGGAGGATTCGCCGAAAGCATATCACAATTCTGTACGGAAGAAGATTCCTGAGGCATTGCTTCGCTGGGTACAAACGAGTGGTAGCATGCATTTCGCAACTATGACTTCGTTGAGCCGAATATATCTGCGAGCTATTGTCTACTACGAATTTCTACAAGGCCATAATCCACCAACGGCTGCCGCCAATATCCGTACTGCGTTCAACGAGAGCATCGTGTCCGAATCCACGGTACGTCGTTGGTTCATTCGATTCCGTTCTGGCGAAAATTTCCCCCAAAATCAGCCCAGTTCTGGACGGCCTACCTCCTTCGACGAAGCTCTGCGTAATGATTTGAGAGGGAAACCCAATGCTACTACCCGTGAATTGGCGACGACACTTGGATGCGGCCATATGGCTGTCAAGCAACCATCTCCAGGCCGTGGGGTATCATGCTATGTTCTCAAGATGTGTGCTGCACGCACAAATTACGCGAGTCCGACAAAGTGTCAAGGGATTAGCGTATGCTTCATTGCTGCTTCACCCCCACAGAAGGAATTTTCTCAATGACATTGTTGCGGGTGACAAGAGCTGGGTACTTTATCATACGACTTTTTTTCGGCTTTCTGGAGGGGTTCTCCGCGACGTCACCAGTGCCTCTTCCCGCGGAGAACCCCTGCAGAACAGTCGAGAAACAACGTGACAAAATCTACCTTCTTCACGACAGCGCTCGTCCACACGTCGCGACGTTGTCTCGTCAGAAAATTGCTGAACTTGGACGGGAAGTGATATCCACCACCTTATCAGCCAGCTGGCCCCATCCGACTACCATCTGTTTCGTACCCTGCATCATCTATGCTGTCTATGTCGATGATCTCTCACAACTCGAAATAGAGATCTCCAACTTTTTAGACTCCCGGCTGCTACAGTTTAGGGCTTCAGGAATCG